CCCCCCCCCCCCCCCCCCCCGCGTGGCGTCCAATGCTCCGTCCTTTGGAAGACACGTGGTCAACGTTAACAGCTAACGCATGCAAAACATGAGCCCCCCCCCCCTCGTGGCCGATTGATTCGCCTTCGCACGATGCTGCACTGCTGCAGCTCTTGTACGTGATACTGTACACTTAGCTGTTCTGATCTCCTTTCACGGCCGTGTGGCAGGCACCGGAGCCCGAGGTGGGTCGGTTGGAGCGAGATCGAGCGAACATCTTGGAAGGGGTGCGGAAAGGGTACCACCACGCGCACTTGCTGCTGCGACGGACGGCGCCGGAGCACCCGACCGCGACCATGGATGGCCGGCAAGCGGCGCTCACGGTGCGTACAGCAGTATGTCAGTATGTCGTGCGTCAAGTCATATCGATATCGAGCGTAGAGAAAAAGCACAATATCATACCGAAAACAGTAGTACCAAACGAAAATGGTACCCAAAACGGTACCCAAAACCGAAAACGGAACCGAAAACGATATCCAAAACAGAACCGATAACGGAATTTCCAAACGTTTGAGATGGTGCTGGGGAGGATTGGGGGGTGGGGGGGGTGGGGGGGCGAGGCGTGTCTTTCCGCACCCCCCGTAATGGGGCCGATCGATGTGTAAGCGGGGTGTGACCAGAATTAAACTTAACTGCTGCTTGCGTACCGTTCGCCACCGCCATCGGCGTTGCGTGGACGGTCGTGGAACGGCTCTCCAGGCGCGTGTTTTAACACGTCACGCGGTTGCACGCGCTGCGCATATGCAGTAGTAGTTTCCAAGTAGACCGTTCTTTGGAACGGACGTTGTGATCGTCCTCGTGGGAATGAATTACGATATCATACTGGTATGCCTAAAAGCATGTGGTGCACCCAGCATGCGTCGTTCCGATTCGCACCTCTTGTGGCAGGCTACGTTGGGGGTCCCTCACTATTAATAGTGCCGATTGAGCAGAGCCAGTGCCGTTTTTTACTTCTCTTTGTTGTGTTCACTTCAAATCAGCGCTCACAGCACTTGTGCCGTTTACTCCAACCCGTGGTCACACAGATACATAGTGCCTGTGAAATCGCGTCACACGGATGGAATTTTCAAAACGGTTCATTCTCTGAATAGCGCTACTGAAAGGTGCCCGGTATAGCACCGGTGAATCTGGCTGGCACATTTCGGCACTACACTGACGAACAGGAACCTCACACCATGGTGTTTCCTGTCCCCTCGTCCTTTCTTATGCAAAAAAAATACACATATAGATACAAAGATGAATACCGTAACATTCTCTGTCATAACGTCCCGGGGCGATCGTCTTACTTGTGTGAAATCATACGCCCCGGGGCTATCTCAAAGGTAGAGGGGCGATCATTCTAAAAGTTGAAATAAAAACCCGGGGCGAAAAGGCCCCGGGGGGCGTTGTCTCTTTGCTGCTGTGGTGAACCTGCTGTACAGCACTGACATCAACACCAAACCAACTACAACAAATGCGGCAACTGGCGCACACACACGGGAAATGCTGCCACAATGGAATGCCTTCCGTGGGTTAGTGTGCGAAAAATCGAACACCCCGGGGCTAAATCAAAAGGTAGAGGAGCGAAAAAATGAAAAAGAAATGAGAAGCGATACCCCTTCTTTTTCGTTGTCTTTTTGGCTGCTCAACGCGCGCTCACCCCCAACGCCGCCCCGCGTGCTTCGCTTTGTCCTATTACAGGCGTTTCCGGATTCCATCCTCTCGGAGGAGATGGACCCCGTCGTGAGAGAGGTTCTCCAACGCTCGGCGGCGGCGGCGGCGAGCACGAACGGGGCACGGCAGCAGCAGCAGCAGCAGCCCCTCTCGAGTTAGGACCGTGTTGCAGGCAGGGCTCTCGCCGTTTCGGCGGGCGGCCTCCGAGTAAATCCCGTAGATTAGTATCTAGCAGCACACATCATTTCGTTTTTTTTCCTCGCCTCTTGGTTGTTGTATGTTTTGAAGTAATAGTCTAAGGTGTGTTGTTTGTTTAGCAAGGGGCAGTGTTAGGTGTGTGTCGTTCTTTTGGGGTGACGGTGGTGGGGTTAATTTTGGGCGGGGCGCATCCGATACGTAGTTGGCTGTGCCTTGCTCGGACGGAAAAGGGAGAGAGGCGTGCGGTCTTGTTGGTTGCGCGCCGGGCTTTGCCATTTGCCATGCACGGGGTCTTGTCGTCGAACGCGCAATTCATGCGTCAGTGTGTGCTGCTGAACGGGATGCAGCAGCGGTTAGTCAGGCGCATGATGATGGTTGAAACGCGCCCTGCAGCGTTCAAGGTGGCGCCTCGACCCTGAAAGCTCGGAAGAGGCGTCCTGATACTGCTGCTGCTGTAGTCCAGCCAGGCTACAGCGGATGCTTCGGCACTGTTTAGAGTGTAGTGTGTCTGCGCGGGCACGGATGCACCTCGGAGGAACACTAGAATAGGATGTTATACGCGTCTGCGTGGGCTTGGGGAACAGCGGCCCCCAAAGGGTCGGAGACGTCGGTGGTGTGTATCGACTTTCTTATGTAAAGTCCACGCACCGAACTTTATTTTTTTTCGATGACTCTCTTCGTCGTTCAGACACTGTTTCCCCCCGCGCAACACGTCGAACGCAACGGAGGACTCAAGGACGAGTGCTCGCAAGTTTGTGTCGAGGAGGTGAAAATGCGCTTGTGGGCGTTATGGCATGGAGCCGCGTACGAACCTCTAAACTGTATGCATAGTCTCTCGGTGAGCGCAACAGGCACGGAGCGCATCGAACAGTCGGTTAGGGTTAAGCCTGTAGTATGCGTCATGTTTCACAGCAGCAGCAGGGCTGACCTCTGCGATTGAGTGCTGTGCCGCAAAACTCAGCAGGAACAGCCCTTTGTTCGTTGGTCGGGGTTGTGTCATGGTTGGTACACCGCGATAACGTCAGCGGTGGGTACAGTAGATAGATGGAGCGCACGCAAAGAAAAAAGAAGGGTTTTTGAGTTGGCTTTTTTCTTGGGGTATTGGGTAATAGAACTCACCCATGCTCCTGAATTTTGCATTCTGTCGCACTCTCGGTGTGGACAACGTAGCCAATACATCTAATGCTGCTTCTAGCCACACGCACTATGTTGTTGATCGAGCTTTCTTTGTGGTTCACCGTGGTTAGAGGTTTCGCGACGTCTGATACTGCTTGGAGTGATCCATACGTTACCCGATGTTTTGTATTCAGCGCGGCGACATGTTTGGATCCGAGTCCGTGGTTGATGTCATTCCGTACAGATCCGTGAGTGGATAGGTCCGGCAGACCAGGCGCATCGTGTTTGCGTGGGGGTTGTTTTCGTTGCGACAGAAACGGTGAAAGCCGGCTCGAGGCGCCCAGTCGCGGTACTTGCTCTCCGCTTGAACAACCAGAGAAACGGAACGCCGTGGTCTTAGCCAATCAGCGTTGGGCCTCGGGGCTACTTCCCGAATAATAAAGTCTACGTGATCTTAGGTGTCACACAAACCCGGGCCCTGTCGTTTAGCCCATGAGAACACAGAGAGAGACAAAACGCCGTGCTTAAGGGCGAACCAAGCAAAGGCGATCTTGACTCTACCCGTAACGGGCAACCCGGTCCACCCCCAACGCCTCCCGCCCCCAACGCCTCCCGCCCCCTATCATCTGCTCGTGACCGAAATTGATAACACCGGGCCTTCTTCATCAACCTTGGTCTGGGCCGCGCGCACGTACTAACAGCAGCTCATCACCCTCAGGCAAATGCACGTTTCCATCCCTCAACACGAACGTACAGCAAAGGTGCGTGCGGCCAAAATGAGTGGTTCGAACAGCATACGCAGCTGGCGGTTTCTCACTTCATCGCGCACGGGCAACCTCACAGCGCGTCGTTGATTGTTACTGGAAAACATTGAGGCGTGAAACTATTACATACTTCATAGTAGAGAGAGTAACATCGACAACAACGATAACAACAACACAACAACAACAACAACGACCACAGCACATCTCTTGCCCACCTCCCCACTGCCCCAAAGCCCGCAACACACAACGAGTACCGGCCCAATCATAAGAAATTGTCCTTTTAGTGAGGTGCCGGCGGCTGAGCTCACGTGCTTGCGCAATTTTTCTGAACTCTCTTCTCATATTATTAATTAAAACGGAGCCTCGGTTTCTTGTGAATGTGTTTCTTCGGCATGCATGGGCCGGCCGGCACTGTACCGCTTGCCGGAACCGGTGGCGGCCGCTCACACATCTCCACCAAAGAGCGTCTACAAAAAAGAATGGTACGTCACATGAACCCCGCCACAACCCAACGTGCGGCATATGCCATTTGAACCACTTCTCCGGTGCAATGGTCTACAAACTACTCTTTGCGACAGCGCTGGTGCCAAACCCTGACGAACGTGCCACACCCTCAACACGAAACATGCGCAAGTAGTTGATACCAGGGGGGGGGGGGTAACTCAATCACCGCCCGTATTGCTTCTGGAGGTCACGGAAACCAGCCACAAGCTGGCGCATCTCGGCGTGGCTGTCGCAGGTCATCTGAAATGAAGAAAATAAGGCATGGCGCCAGTTGTTAGCGCGCGGTGGAAGCGGGCTCGGTGATATGATGTTGATGACAGAAATCTTAGTAACAAACACGGGCGGGCGCTGAACGATCCTAAGCTACAACGGTCCCGGACAGCATTGAACATGTTACGTTGACGTTGTGCTGAACATCGCACGTTTGTTTATGTCCGTGTCGGCAATGGACAAACGGTCGACAGTATGCACAACATGGCACGATCTCCAAGATTGGCGATTGGGTGGGGGACGGGGGCTATGTAGCTGCCACAAGACACCATTTCGGCCCCTTCCTACTCGTGCGGTAAGACACTATCGATGTTGGGTATATGTATGTGCTTTTCGAACGAAACGCTTCTGGCATTAGGTCACCAAGGAACATCCAGCTACACTTCAACAGTACCTCCCCGGACAGCAGAACTGCGGCCCAAACGAAGGGCACCTGGGCGCCGGCTCAAGGGCACCTCCATAGTAAGTACGTCCCATCTCTCACCTCCAGAGATCGCTCTTTAAACTGCAAGGCGAAGCTTCGCTCTAGAAGGCTCTCGTCGCAGTGCTCACGGAGCATCGCCGAGCCCTTCTCCGACGGTCTCGTGGGGTCAGGGTCGTCACCAGCTATAACCTGCACTCGTCGTCAAACACGTACGTACGTCGGGAGGGAGGTGCGAGTGGTGCGAACGCCTGATTGAGGCAACCGATGTTTGGCGGAATTTTCGTTGTCGTCACCCCAATATATCATCGAAAGGGTACAGGCGGCAAATCGTAGCGGCCCGGTGAGCGGCAAAGGGGGGGGAGGGGGGGCTCAGGGGCTAGGAGTAGCGCCGCAGCCCTTCAACAAGTATTGGTTGTGGCGGCGATGGTGGTGGCCGTGGTGGTTGTGGTAGTGGTTGTCGTGGGCGCGGTGGTGCTGCCTCGACGGTTGGCTGTACATTTCGTTTCTGGCCCCGCTACATAGTAACGCACCCCCGGTCACCAAAACACCCGTCGCATCATCCCAATCAGGGACCACAATGAGATCAACACAACCGCATGGGACCCGCGCTCGCGCCAGACAAGACTTAAAAACCGACCTCGAGGAGGTGCGCGAGCGCCAACGCCTCCCTCTTCCCCTTGATGATGTTGGTGAGCGAACTCGATCGGCTGTGCCCCGGGGAACGGGCGTCGAGGTCGCGCCAAGCCACCGACATCGACACGCCGTCCAGGTAGAGCAGCCGCTGAGCCGCCGCGCCCTTCTTGCCGTACTTGGTCACCACCACGCCGTGCTCCATCTGCTCGTAGGGTGCAATCAACAAGATGCCCAGGTTTTAATTTTGTTCTTCTCCATTCGGTCTTTTCTCTGTTTTCGTTTTTTTTCGTTTTTTTCTGTTACATCATGTCTGCGTACCGAAGATCAAAGTATGTACTGGATTAGATACAAAAGTACCACCTTGCTTGGGTACTTGGCTCGTGGCCCACGGAGGTTCTCTTCTTTGCCAGTTGCATGAGGATGAGAGATCAGGGTACCGAATGGGGGGTAGGGGACCCTCAACAACGTCAGGACAAGAACGTTGTGGACGAGTGCAGCCGCCACGATCTTTAGCTGGGAGTGTAGCAAGTTGCAGGGCTGTAGGCGAAGGAGAAATAACGAAACCAACGGTGGTCTGCATCTATCTGTCTGCGCTAGCCCCCGCCTCCGCACCGCCCCCGCCCCCCCCCGCCCCCCGCCACTCATATGTACACAAACCTTTTCGCTGAAGCCAGCGTCGGAGCTCGCCACCTCGCGCCCCAGTCCGCTAAACCCGGACACCTTGCCCTGGCTCCGCGGAGAGATAGGGGAACGGGGCGCAATCCCTCCGGCGCTCTTTACTCCTGCTGCTCCCTGCTTTACGTTGGTGTTATGTCAGCAAATCGCGCGTTGTTGTTGTTGTTGTTGTTGACGGGATCCATTGCTTTCGGGGCACGTGCGTTGAGATCGTCACCAACATATGGTTCGTGAGGTCGCGACGACAACAACCAGATATGAAAGAGTTATCGTTTTCGCCGCTCGCGGGCGGTCTTAGGCCGCCGCATCCGGCCCGCGACGGATCGTTCATCCAGACTCCTTCGTTTATGTCCACGAATGCGGACGCACAGGCGTAAAAACTGAAGCTCGTGCCTATGTGAGCACGCCGATTTGCTAACCACGAAGCAACCTTCATGTGCAACACTATGTGTTTCGCTCGAACGCGCTTGACTTGCTCCTAGTTCATGCAATAGATAGTCGCTCATCGGCCACCTGGCCCTGCTGATGTACCTTGAGCTTTCTGGACAAGCTGTCCCCGCGGGTGCCCTCGAGATTCCCCCGGATCGGCCCAGATTTTGATACGCCTCCAGCCTTCGTCGCACGGAAGCCCTCCGGTTTCGCCGCACTCCCGCCCCCGCCACCACCCCGGGCGCCGGCGTGTGAGCTGGGAAAAGCGATATATGTGCACGTGACAGAACGAACGACGACAAGAATATAGCCGGCGGGCGTGAAGGCCAAAAGGGATATTGGTTGACAAGAAGCGAAGTGAGCTGTGTGATAGCGATGAGCCATGCCGCGGCCGGGTTACGCGAGGAACTTTTACGGTCCTCGGGGTACGCTGATCGGCAGAAAAAATACGCTACCCGAACGTGTCGTTGTCAGTGCTCCCCCTTCCGGCGACGTGTTATGGCCCGGTTGTTGTCTGCCTAGCATAGATGTGCACGCTCTGTGTCCCGTTGGTCTTCTTGTAGCCAACAAGTTCGAGGCTTTGCACCCACATGGGTTTTGTTTACCCCGTCTTCGACCCTCCTCCTCTGCCTACCTCCGACGAAGAACAGGTTTGACATCGACTCCTCTACTCACGCTGAGATCGGTCCGCCACCGCTGCCGCCGCCGCCATCGCCGCTGCCTTTGTCAGATTTTCGGAAGTGGAGCTCGATCGGACGGCCCATGATGTTCATGAAGGCCAACACGGTGCCGTAGCTGCTGACGGTGTTCTCTCCCACTCCGATCACGAGGTCATCCGTTTGGATCCCCTGTGCGTATGTGTGTTGCATGTGAATTCCGCGCATACACCGACGGTGTTGAGGACAATATGTATGAACATAGAGAGGGAGGTGGACGACGATAAGTGGAGAGGGCGTCGTGTGCGGGTTTTGTGCCCGAACCGTACGCATGAAAATGTGTAACCAATGCCTGCAACATGACCCCGTGCGCCTCAAGACGAACCGTCGCTCCCCGGCAGTACGTCACAGGAAGAGAGTGGCACGCTGCCGCCTCTGTTCCATGGTATGTCTCACCGCTCGAAACGCCTGCCCCTGTTCGACTATCTTCCCGACGATAGCGTCCCTGGTGTCAGGATCCATGGACAAGGTCATACCCATGGCGCCTTCCCGGAACGAAACCCGAAACTCATCCTCCAGCTCGCTCCTGACAACAAAGAAAGTCGACGTTGCAAAACAACAGAGTTGTATAGAGAGGTATTAGCAGGGCAAGGGACGAGACGTGGGGGGAAGACCATAGGCTACCCTATCCCATGGTCTACGTTTTCCATTCCTTGCTGTTTCGTTTGCCACCTTCCAAGCTGCCGTTTGGGTAGCCCAGAAAACGCCAAAGCACATTGTGGGAGGACTGTGTGTAGAGGGGCGGACGTCGGGCTCGGAAGAAGCGCCGCAGAAGCCATGTTTTCGTGACCACGAGCTCGCTCACGCTGGCGCTTTTAAACCTCCATTTTTCAAGGTTTGCGCTTCGACACTTTCTATCCCCCTCCTCCCTCTCCGTTCCAACCCCTACAGCCGCCATTGGCAGAGCGTGCGTTGGGTGATTCAGTGTAAAATTCAAGACAATGAACCGACACGGTCGACACCAACCACCCAACCTGACGGCGATGGCATCGACAGGATCTTGTTTCTTCTGCTCCTCGTTGAAAACGACGTCCGCGATCCGATCGAAGATCGACGCCCGCCGCGCACCCCCGCCGAGCGGGACGACACCGATACCGCTGCCGCTGCCGCTGCCGCCGCCGCTGCCGCCGCTGCGAAGCCCACGCCCGACTTCCCTGCGGGTAGTAGAGGCGGCCTCGGCACTGGCGGTGTCCCGCAGTCCGCCCCGAGTAGGCGGTAGCGGCGCCTCCCCGGTGAGGACGTCGTAGAGACTTAGACGCCGTTCTCCCGACCCTTCCGCTGCCACCGTAGACGAGTTCCTGCGGTGATTGGCGTGTTCACACGTACGTAATTTTGTGAAACTACAGTACACAAGAGGAGAACGTGTGTAGGGTTGTTAAGCGGGAGGGCTCTGCTCGGCTACGGTGTTTTACTTCTGCAGCAGCGTCAACTTCGATGCTCGACAGGCGATAGCTGCGAAGAAGAGGTCGCATTGGGGTGTCTTGCCGAGTGGGACCCGTGTCTGGGAGGTTTTTGACAAATAGGAAAAACTCACAGAGCCACCGGAGGCCGGGTCAAGCACGCGTCGAAGCGAGTGGACGTGTCACCCTTTTTGTTTTCAGAGAGTTTATTTTCTCAATCGCGAGACTAACCGGCTTTAGGCATAGTACACGGCACGAGTGGTTCCGGAGGTCGAATGCCTGCGATTGGTACCCCACGCTTACCAAGGATACCTCTTCCAACCCGCAACTACTATGGCCCATTTAGAGCCCTCAGTGAACAAAGGTATTTCAAACTTTGTCTCGTTTTGTCCAACTCGAACCTTGGGTACTGGCATCCACTTTCCGCGTGTGTGGGATCTACTTGCTGTACGACTCACATCTTTCGGTGCCGTGGAGACCACCGGAGGCTACTAGTAGGGACCGGTTCCTCTCTCGGTTGTTTACTCGCGCCTTCCACCTTGTCGTTGACGCTGCGATCAACGGCGGGTCTCTGTCTTTCTACCGGTATCCTCCCGCCGTCTTGTCCCTCGTCGTCGTTTTTAGCTTTGTCGTTCTCTGGCGGCGTCGCTGCCGATTGATGTGGTGGTGTCTGGTGGCTGTCTCTGGTTTTTCGCCTGACAACGACCATGCGGTCCGAACGGAGGTTGCGAAAGAAAGTGTGTTCGGAAAAGGGTAGTTCTCTTTTCTGTCTTGTGGTTGGAACACTTAAGTGGGGGTCATGGTTTGGCCGGCAGTGCTTGGTCCGAGATATTGACGGCATAAGCCGCAGCGTCCAATCCAGTGGAACACCCGGTCATCACCATTTTTGCGCAATCTTACAATCCACGGACAAGGTGCCCGTATTCCGCTAATATCGTTCAGTTCTGCAAATGTAGGTATTTATCAACTTACCCCAATACTATGCTACCATGTACGTAAACTGCAGGCAAAGTTTTTTTGCAGAACTTGCAATCAATACGTTCTTTCGTATGCCGCAGGGCTTGTTTGCGTCGTTGTCTTCTGGAACAGCACGAACAACTTCTACTCTCGGATGGTTAGCCCATGCTGTATCTACATGAGTGGATCCATCATCCACACTCCGCAGCGCGTTGTAGAGTCTACGCTTTACTACCGCTGTTGTCTGATCCTCTTATCAGGGTCTCTTTGCAGTAGCAGGCTGGAACAAGGCAACCTTGTCTCGACTTGTGTCTTTGAGCATGAAAAGTCGAGTGAAGAAAAAGATATTTCTGTGGGGATGAGGTACAGTAGTCCTGTAGGTTTCCAACAAACAAACCTGGAGAGGACGAGACAAAGAAAACCGCGTGTGGAGTGCTGATACGCACACGCACGCCTTGACGCGTGGATCGAAAAATAATAAGGCATCCCTCCCTCGAGCACACGCAGATTCCGAACCAAACCTGTAAATCATTATAGTCGCGGCAGTCGCGACAGCCCCGAATGCCAGCAAAATGCCGCTCGCTGCGGATGATGAACCATCGACGTGCCCGTTCCCCGACCAATCTTCCGCGCCTCCTCCTCCCTCGTCGATCCTAGGGGTTGACCAACCCACTACTCTCGTTGCCGTGTGCCAGAGCCAGGCGACAGCCCCCAAGCTCCTGCTGAAGCCTTGGCTGACGAATCCTGAGCCATTACGGCCGTGATCTTCCGATGAAAGTTTTTTCTTCCTCCCGCGACGGCCACCGCCGAAATGCCGTCGACGCCCAGTCGAAGGCTTCATGTCGCTTGGTCTTGGCATCGTGGAGCTTGATTGTGTAGGGCAAGAGCGTCTATCTCCTGTGTACTGCCCCAAATCATCTGACGATCAGCACGCCACGCAAACCGTGTCTTGCATCGCACAGCTTTGCGTATCCTCTCTCTGTGTAGATTGAGAACAATAGATACGGGTGCACATATTCCTCTTCCACGGAAAGATATTTCGTCGTGTTTTGACGGTTACAAAACACACGTCAGGTACACGCGGGGGGTGATGTTGGGGGGGCACCGTAGGCAACACCAGGTGACCAAAAGAACAGCTGTGGCAGCACAGCACACAGCACAGCAGTCGCCTCAGTTGTGCGTCATATACAGCCGGGCATACGGACGATACGATGGGACGAGAACTCACCGCCATTTTCACCTCCTCGTTGGTTCTTTTGCTTTGTCCAGGTGAAGTTTGGCGTGGACAGCAACAGCAAAAGTCTATCATTTCAAAAGTAATAATCGCGCCGCACTCGGGTCTGCTGTGCTTGTGCATGCCATCTGTTACCGCTGTCCATGGCACTGCTTGCTGTGCTACGCTGGACTTTCTCTAACGAACTGCTCGCGTTTCCCCATGGTAGGGCCCGATGCTTTCGTTCCAAGCGCGAGAATAAGACCTCCGCTGAGTACTGCGCCGCCACGGCACCGCGTTGAAGGTTTGCCGCTGACTCGACGAACACCATGGAGCCTCCCCTGCACGCACAGCAGGTAAATTCAACAACTTAATTAAGAGTATTGTATCAGAGCAGATTTGTACATATGGAAGAGACAAATGGCGGTTGGAAACAGACACATGTCTGAGAAGATGAGGTTGGTTGTCGTGCTTGAACTCCTTCCGCACGTTGAGATCAAGAGCTAGCCAGCAAGCACAGGTTCAAGACACCACACGAAAACTGCTGCACACCAGCTTGACAAGCTCTTGTCGCTCCTACGACTACAGCAGTTCACTGCTGCACAAAGTCTGCTGAGAAGAGACCCGGCGTCTATCCCACAACGCAAAGCTTACGCACACACTATGCCAACGTTGAGATGAAGGGATTGCATCAGCCAGCATACACAGGTTCACGCACGCGAAACTTCTGCACACCAGCTTGACATCCTTTTGTCGCTACGACTACATACACTGCTGTGCAAAGTCTGCTGAGAAGAGACCTGGCCTCTACATACCTCACAACGCAAAGCTAGCGCAAACGCTACGCTGTGGCACAACCAAGGTTGCTGATTTTTTTACGACGCACGCCCTCGTTCCGCCGCTCCCGGCTGCTTCCGATATCGATATCGCTACTCTCTCTCTCTCTCTCTCTCTCTCTCTCTCTCTCTCTCTCTCTCTCTCTCTCTGTCCAGCGCGCAGCAGCAGGCCGATAACGGCCACGGCAGCAGCGAGCACCACGACGACGACGACGTTCGTTCGACGCCTCAGCGACGACCACCACCTGCGGCGAACGGCCCGGCCTCCGTCGTGCGCTTTCGCGTGCTGCGAGGCGGGAACCCCCGCGACAACGCCGCCGCCGCCGCCGCCGCCGCCACCCCCGAAGCCGACCTCGTGGAAGTCTCCCTCGACCGACCCGACAGCGGCGGCGGCATGGCCAACAACCCCCAAGACCTGAGAGAGTTCCTGTTCCTGGTGAGGTCAAGCCAGCCGGGGTCTATAGGCGAGGATCTGCAGCGGCGGGGCGTTCGCGTTTTTCCGGAGGAGGCGTTTGCTGACGCGGAGGCGGAGTTAGGGGCCGGCGGGGGAGAAGGATCGGCGCCGGCGGGCGCGGGGGGGGGTGAGGAGGGGCTGTCGGGGGTCGGGTGGACGGGCGGGAGGCCGCTGCCTCTCGACACGCCGATGACGGAACTTCCGAGAGACGGGGAGGGACGCGTCCGGCTCGTTCTTTGGGACCCCTGCGGTAGGCTCTTCGCTTCCATGGAGCGGTAGTTACATTGGTGCAGTGGATACTACTGGGGAGACAACACGCCCGCTCACGCTGCAAAACACGCTTTCGGTAGACGGGTCGCTTGTAAAAGAGTTTACATACGTGCGTCCGTTTCCAGAAGAACTGCGTGTGGCCAATTGGTTCAATGTCTTGTGATATTCTACAAACGTGTATCCCTCCCCCCCCTCCGCGCGCACCCGTCACGGCACCCCTGTCCTTCTGTCTCCACCCTCATGGTGTGAAAACATGCACAGGTCCGACCCACCCCTTGGTACGGGCCGTGAGCGTCGAGCCTTCGAAAGACGCCTCCGTCATGGTGCTCAATTTCCTCTTGCCTGAGGATAGCCGGCGGCACGACGGCGGGGAAGGGACGGCGGGAGAAGGCGGGGGTTGCAGCAGCGGCTACGGCAGCGACTTCAACGAGTCGCGCTCGGCCGTGGTGTTCCGGAAGTGGTTCACGGTGGAGCAGCAGCAGGTGGGTAGGTCGGGTGGACGGGGGGGGGGGGGGGGGTTACCTTTTTTGTTGGAAATCATTGCGGCTTCAACATAACGCCCATCCCTTCTTCCAAGAAGCGCAACATTTTTCCCCATGACCGTGTGACAGCGGGATGCACCTGCTACA